GAGAAGGAGAAGAATGCGCTCTCAAAGCAGAGCCTGAAGATGAGACAGTCCATGCCCAGCTTAAAGCCCAGGACTCAGCCCAGGTACCGGCTGGCACAGGACTTGTCTCTGAACAGACCTGACCAATCAGAACACAAATGTGAACAAGGACACCATCTGTCAGTGAAGAGTCACACGGAAATGCCCCCCAGGGGGTCTTTAGCTGAGAGAGACACGGTGCTAGCTGATGTTTACAAAGACAGGAGGTTTATGTTTATTTTCTCAGCCAACTTCCTTTGGGATTAATAAAGTTTCTGTCTGTCTGTCTGTCTGTCAAACACCAATATGCACTATTACCCTCTACCCTCCATAAACAGCCCCGACTCCTCCAGAACCATATCCAAACCGAGTGGATCAGAGACCCCCGCTGGCTCCAAGACGCACCCCAGGAGAGCCAAGACACCCGCTCGAGTGCCACCAAGAGCAGCCTCCCCCGTCACTGGTGGGAAAATGAGAGTGTCACGCCAGCCTGTAACTACTGAGAAGAAAGGTATTTTAATGAAGAGGCCAGGCTGTCAGATAATGACTCCTCTAGCAGTGTGATCTCAAAAAAGATCAGATGGAATGTGATGATCGACCTGTTAGCCAATCAGGGGTGTCGACTGCATTTCCATGTCTGTCATATGATGTGAAGGAAAGATCAGTCAGGCAGGGATGTGTCTCAGAGCACCATGTGTCACTAACAAAATGACTGAAGTATTACAAATCACAGAGCACCATGCTGGAAGTCCCTTCTGTTATTGTTTCTGCTCTCCGAGCTTTTATGTTTCACGCTTTTCCCCACTCAGCTCTGGTTAAAGGTTCTTTGGATTTTAACTGATTTCTCTTGCTGGTGTTTAAATGTTTAATGTCTCTTTGATCTGCTCTAGATGTCCCAATGGCCTCATCTCTTTCACAGGCTCAGCTGGCGTTCCTGCCATCGTCGTTTCTTCTGCCTTGGCCACACCCCTTTCAAAAAGCACACCAGTCATAGCTGCTGCTCAAAAGCAGCCTTCGTCGGTCCCAAAGCCTCACTCCACGGTCAAACTAATCACAGTTGCCGATACTAAAAAGGCCCCACGAACCACCATCCAGATGAAGGCACTGTCCCAGAGTACACCAATCATAACTCCCACTCCGAAACAAACTCCTCCCACCATTAACCCAGCCACACCCCTCTCCCTCAGCCAACCAGTCCAAACTCCCAGCCCTAAGCAGGCCTCAGCAGAGTCCACTCCCCCCCATACCTCAGCTGCACCTGGCAGGTTCAGCGCTGGAACCACAGACCCAGAAGAAGCTGCGCGGAGCCTGACGGAGAAACGACGACAGGCCCGTGAGCAGAGGGAGAGGCAGGACCAGGAGCAAGGCCGGTCAGCACACAGGGCATGGCTGCCGGGGCATCATTAGGGCTGTTGCTCCTAGCTTATGCACAACCCCAAGCAACGCGGCGGGTGCATGATGAGCAGCTTGTCTGACATGTGACAGCTTTGCTTTTGCGCGGCTCTGATGGTCCACGCTTGCTGTCTAGGCCAGAGTGTCAGGAGCCGGCAGTGAAGGAGGCGCAGGAGGGGGATACACAAAAGCGAGGCGAAGCTCGGTCAGTGGAGACACCAGTGATGGAGCAGACACAGCAGCAGAGGCAGGTGAGTACTGCAGGGAGAAGCCATGTCCGACTCAGGCAGAAGCTAACTCGCGTTGATGCTCGCTAACCACCAGTGCTGCTGACAGCAGGAGGACTCTGCAGCCGAGGAAAGACGACTCGTCCGAGAGAGGCACTTCCAGAAGGAGGGACAGGAGCGCCTGGAGAGGAAGAAGGTCAATGCTGCCCGCAAATGCCCCCCCTGTGCTCCAGTGGTGGAGTGACTGTGCTTCCCTGCTGTTGCTGTCCCGCTCATGTCCTGTTTCTCTGCGTTGCAGCGTCTTGATGAGATCATGAAACGGACACGCAAACCCGACAGCGGGGAGAAGGTACGACTTCAGCAGACGCCGCTGCGCTTGGGTGATTTAGTGAACGTTTTGGACATGAATCCTCTCATCCTGTCCTGCGGATTTGTGTGCTGTTTTGGACAGGTAACCCCTGACCCTCCATCTCTGCAGACGGAGGACTCCTTGCAAGCCCCGGCCGACTGCGCAGATATGCAGGTGATCCAGGATAGTGGCACAGGTCAGTCAGTAGCAGGCTGGAGCAGAAATACAGGGAGCAGGATGTACTGAGCTACTTGATGCGTGAAAAAGCATGAAATCCAAGAGCTTGGAAGCCAGATTCACTGGTCTTCGAAAATGTAAAATGTGTTGGGATCATGTAATCTGTCCGCAGTGTTGGCAGGCGACCAGAAAGGCCCGACTGGTGTCAAAGATTCAGAAATGGGCCAAACACTGGAAAGCTTACAATACAGGTGAAATTAAGTTGTTTTACATTCTGTTGCTTTTGTAGGAATAGTAATCATACTGAATGATTCTAAGGTATACTGCTAGATCACCCTAAATATAGCTTGGTATAAAAACCAGTAGAAGCACTGATTGTTGTAATCGTAACAGTTTTTTCCAGTTCATTCCAGGTCAAATTTACTTTAAAAGCGTAAACATGTCATTCTGGGCTGTGTAGTAGCACATGCCTGAGGACAGGCTGCGTGTCTGCAGATAGAGGGCGCTGAAGATAACTGTGTTGTCTCCCAGCCCTGCCAACCGAGGTTCGGCCACAGTGATGAATGGCATCCAGACAGCCAATCAGAATGGACTCGCTGTCACAGCTGTGGCTTCTGAACTTGAGGAGATCGTCCATCTGTCGAATCACAACAACGCCAACAGCAGGGGGCCGGATAGATCAGAGACTGACATCCACAGCGAGCCAATATTAGTCTTCAAGGGCGGGTCTCCCTTCCTGATGAGGGCTAGCACCATGCAGCCGCAGCATGTGACAGGTGATTGGTCAGATTTTTTCAAACATAGTCATGAGGTGGTAGATACCAGTTGTAGATGCAGGACAGTGTGAAGTGGTCAAGTTTGGATATGTGTGCATCTTCATTTTGGTGTAATTCGTGGATCCATGCATGCACTCCCCTACTCTCTTGTCAAACTTTGTCACTCCTCCAGAAGTCCTCTAAGCAGTTGGAAGACAAACCTTCAAGAACACCAGCCCAAAAATGACGGATAGGCCGAACAGGAGAGAGCTTCCAGATTCACTCACAGACAAATGGATTCTCACAGAAGGTTCCTTGGAGTATTACTTGTAGAACAAAAAAAAAACACTGAATTGTTCTATGTCCAATTTCCTTATAAACATTACAGTGGAAGATTGTGTTACTATTTAACAGACAGAGTAATACAGTTAATAACCTGTGAGGAAATGCACAGATATTGGATTATTCTTGTTGTAATAATCATGATTACTGTTACAATGATAACAAAGTGTTTTTCATTTTGTCTCTAGTGCTTTAGTTATTTAAAGGGAAGGTATTCTGGGTGCAGTATAGGAATAGTGTAAGTGCCCATCATTTCCTTCACCTTGGGTCAGTATAATTAAGGCATACAGTATGTGGGGAAGTCTTGTCAGGAAGAATGAGAGATGCATCTTTTTAATGCCTTTTATGGATGAAAATTTTAGCCGAACTTAGTATGGTGAAGGACAACATGAAAGTCTCACCCAGTGATCTGCATGTGCAATGTATTTGTTAAAGTAATTTACTCATACTTTTTTAAATATTGTGCTGCTTAACCACAAATAACAGAAATTGTCTAATATAATTAAAAGTTAATGTGAACACTAAAGTAAAGTGGAAATCATGATTAGACTTTATTTTTTAAGAGTTTTCCTTTTGAACTTCCTCATATCTGCCAACTGGTTAGCCAGGACAAGGTCACCAAGCACCCAAGCCCACGGAGGAATGAGCACAAGAACAGGAGAGCACCATAGAGAGGATGTCATCCCATTACAAAACACAGAGGTTCAGAAACACAGCTAGGGGAAAACCTTACTAATACACAGCAGGGGTGGGATTTGAACACACAGCTGTACAGGTGTGAGGCAATAGTGATATAGGGCAACCACAAACTCCACAGTGAAAAAAAATATATAAAGTGCATTTCTTCAGTTCTGATCTCTGCTTTTGATTTTATTGTTTACATTTACCTGTATAGTACACAAATGTGGCCTGATCTTGGTCAAATTTACACCATATACAACGGTTTATCTGAAATTTCTCTACCATTTTCATACAGCTAGGTATTCAGCTGGAGCAATTTAGGTTAGGTAACTGATATAGTAGTCAAATCCCTCTGGACTGGAAATGTTAGGGTCCTCAACCACAATAATTCCTGCTCTGATATGGGCTCAAAAGTCGTTTTTATATAATTTTTTTATGAGGCATATTTGTGTTCAATTTTTCGAGTCTTTTCTTAACTATAGATGACTTGAAAGATAAACATGAATTATTTCAGTTTAACATGAGTTTGAATGGGCCGTCTAATCAGTTTTGTTGACGGGTTTAATACTTTATAAAAAATCATGTCTATATCTCAGAAGGCGTTACGTTTACGCGTTGTATGTAACTATGTTACTGAATATATTTTCATGCTTTTCGAAATTAGAGGTAAAATGTCAACACACTATAAACATCGCAACACATCTCTTAATGCTTTAATTTTGACTGAAAGACTCAAACCGTTTTAATATAATGAACTGCTAGGAACGGTACAGATATTACAAGAACCGGTCCTTCGTTTTCTGGAATATTTTGTGTCTTCATACAGTCTGCTTATTTATCTATTAATTAGCCCTGTCCTTCGTAGCCCTGGGAGTATGACATACGCGTCCAAACCAATACATTAACATTTATAAAGTCATTTTATGTACCTAATTGGACAAGAATTTTTGCATTAAAACTAGATATTAGGTCTGTATTTTAAATTGTATATTAACAGCGTTTCGTTGCGTCGTTTCGGAACGTAAGTGTCGCGCGAGTTCATAGCACGAGAAAGTCAGCGCGTGCGCCCGATATCCGGACGGAAGTGACAAGCAGTCGTTAGACCACATTTGCGTTTTCCGTTACCAATGTCAATTCGACGTTAAACGTCTTCATTCGGTTGTTGTATATGTTGGTTAGTGCATGTTTAACAAGATATGAAGAAATGTTTTCGCTGAAAAAGATCCCGACAGCAAACAAGGAAAGGATTTCGACCTTGTGTTTGTAAGCGACTCCCTGCTTCACTAGCGCCCAACTGCAGCTAACTCTTTACGCGGAACAGGATCACAGAAGTAAAACCAGAGAAGCAGCCAGGTATTTATTTATGAAAATATTTTGTACGTGGTGAGTGAATGAAATAGATTAACAAAGCTACCTGGTGAGTTACTTTTGTAAGGGAATGTGTTTTATCGTAAGTTTTGACGAGCTTTGTTAGCATGTCAGCAATCCAATGTTTCCTTGCTGCGTAATTAGCAGCCCGTGCTAGCTAAGTGAAAAGAACGGAGTTCGGTTTTATTTTTACGCAGCCGTGTAGCTAAATGGATATATTTATTTAATCTCAAATAATATTCTTAGGTTTTGTTGACTCCATTGCTAGTTAAGAGAGCCGACGTTACTCTGCAGTTTCAGTGATGGTGCATAGGGTTATCTGGTTAAGCTGTACGTCGCTTTTGCTTTCAAGAGATGAAGTTAACTCGTTCCATTAGTATTACAACTGAATGAAATATGTGTCGGGACGGTCGTACAGTATAAAAAACCTCTAGCTATTTAAAACTGAGCGTTTTGGTAACCTGTAGGAAGAGGCCCGGCACGCAGCCCCCGTTTCTTAAAACTGCGAATTAAGAGCTGATTTGTATTCGAGTAGCTGCAGTGCTTGTAGTAAGCCTTTCTTTTCGATAAACGTTAATTGTAACGGTAGCAATATGTTTATTATGTTATACTTAACGTCGTTTCAGTAAAACTGCTTTTGGTATAAATGCATGTTTTTATGGTCTGTTATGCCACGAAATCATTTGGTATGTCATGGGCCGTGTATACGTTAATTTTGGTAATATGACACTCCCAGTAATTATTGAGCTTATTTCACACTTGGCATCTTTCCTGAAGCAATACCCGTTATAAAAGAACAAAGGCATGAAACATAAATCCAAGTAGGTGCATGTAATGTCTCCTGATGTTCTTTCAGCCTTCTTTGCAAGCCGGACTGCATGTCTGCATGCCTGTAGTAGGGAACTGTTCACGTGAAGCTGAGTGTGTGTGTTTGTGTGTGTAGATATGAGAGAGAGTGAGTGTCCAGGTTATATGTATATGTGCATGTTTGGGAATAAAATTAAGTTTGTTTATGCAGGAGTAAGATGCCTTCGTTTGTGGTCTGCATTTGTGGGCAGCGTAGATCTGGTGCTGCTTTGTAGGGGAGAGAGGGGCTTTTGGCACCTTGCAGGTTTGCAGTTTCAGTGCTGATTCTGAGACAATAAGCTGACTTCCGTTTCTATATTATGAGTTTTCAAGGGGGATTTCCAGTTTGGGGTAGTAGTAGGAGAGTTAGTCACTTGCAGATGGCTTCTAATGTCCCCTTTCTATGGCCCTTTTAGTTCTTTGTGTTTCATTGCCATGTCATAAATGGACCTCCTGTTAGTGGGAGTACATTTCCTTGCTAGACATTGATTTTTTTTCCTTCCCATTCTACTGGGACTACTTGACTGAAAGTGGTCAGACTCTAGTACATCTTTTCTAAGTTGTGCTAGTTTTCATCAAACTTTTTTTTTCTGCATCACACGTCCGACTTTCTGTGTCCTTCAGCACATGTGACTTTGTGTCATTTTCTGTAAAACTGTTGGCAGGTGTAAAATGGAATCCTGTCATTGAATTAAATAAGAGCAGGACACAAGCTTTTCGGATGATTTGTGAAGTCGTTCAGAAGAACACCTAACCCATTTCAAAATGGAACTCACTAACGGCTTTGCAAAGAAATAAAATAGCAATGTTTGTTGCTTCAGAAATAGTTAAGATGATAGAAATAAAAGCATCCTATCCTTTTTTCCTTTGGTCATGTGCTGTTTAAGCCTATTTCCTATTCGGCATTTCGGCCGCCTTAGTTTGTGAGAGTTAATGAATCAGTCGGCAATTTGCAAATTTTAATCATTTACGTTTTAACAGAATGTGCATACATGACTGGTTGTAAAAAAAAAAAAAAATTGTAAATACAGCCTAGTTCTGGATATTAACCAACCCTCCACAAAACACCCAGCATCCTGTAGCCTGGTGGAATACTGCCAGGGACTACTACCGGTCTGCAAACTGGGGGTTCGGTACCCCTAACCAAGGCAAACATGCAGTGTGACCTGCCGAATGTGTATGAAAGCCTGTCTTAAATTGATGATACATCACTTATTGCTGTTTGCACCAATTTGTTATGCAAATGTAAAAGTTAGTTTTTGTTCATATTCTTAGGGAGTCTTGGGTAGTGCTCAGTGTTCACCATTTTCCACATTTTTTTGCATAATTTTATGTGTGCATTTTGGGGCTGCATTTACCTTGTTTGTGTTGCACTCTTCTCTGGCATTGACATACAGCCTACTAGCATGATATTACTAGTGTAATAGAAACACCTGTTCTGTTCTGTCTTGTTTTTCCAACACTTCAGAAGGTAATCCTGGCTGTAGCTGTGTGGCTTGTTAACTGTAGCAGTAATGCTACATGGCCTATCACAAGTAGAAATATTTCCAGGTCTGCTTTTTCAAATGATTGTGAAATACTGCTTTGCTCTCCCAAAGATTTGAAGAGACTACTATAGACATGTCTGAAAAAAAGGCTCCGAAGTCCCCTTCTCGATCTAAGTCGAAGTCTGGGTCCAGGTCCAGATCTCGATCTTTATCTAATTCCCGCTCCAGAAGCCGGTCACGGTCCAGGAAACACCGATACAGGTATAAATCTCATTGTGTACCCTTGGTACAATCTGTTGTTGCTTTTTTTCTTTTTTTGCAGTTTGGTTCCTAGTCAGTGATCTCTTGCATTATTTTATTTCAAGCTCTAGGTCTCGATCTCGCTCCAGATCTCAGTCGGCATCTCATGGAAGGGACCGAAACTATCCCAGGGAATACCAAAACAACCGTGGTTACAACCGTGGTTACAACCGTGGATACCGCAGGCCCTATTACTACCGTCCGCGTGGACGTGGCTTTTTCCCACGGGGCCGCTACCAGAGAGGTGGGGGCTATGGCTACAATGGGTACCGATCCAACAACTGGCAGAACCAACGGGGTCAACAGTCACACGAGCAGAACCAGAACAGCCCCAGGAGAGGGCGCTCCCGCTCTCGTTCACGCACTCCCCGAAGGCGTTCAGGGAGCCCTTGCTCGCGCAGCAGGTCTCGCTACTCTGACCGCTCTTCATCGGTCCGATCCCGTCGCTCCTCCTCTTCCCCTTCTTCACGTTCCTCCTCTCCCCCGGCCAAGCGCAGCACCAAGGAGACGAAAGAGAGAGCCACTGAGGAGAAGGGGCCTGCAGCATCAGACTATGCCAGTCCACAGATGCGCTCCGCTGTGGTCGTCAGCCAGGGACTGCCTTCAGGCTCTCAGGCTGGGGCTTCTAGCATCAGCGCCCCCTCTTGGAAAAGCATCGGCCCTGCACCCACCAGCAAGAGCCCACCAGGGCCTGTGGCTGGCGTGTCTGGTTTTGGGTTCTTCTCAAAGGAGGACCAGAAGGCAGGAGAAAAGACTGCCATCTCCTCTGCCTTTAAGAAGTATGTTCCATCTCTCTTTAAATGTCCTCTTTTTCTGTCTGATCTCTTTTTCCTATTTAAGATGCTTGCTCAGTGCTGGGTTATAATTATTTGTGTTTCAATTTGTTTAGTCTGTGCTCAGCTTCAAAGATCCTGGGAAGAATATTTAAAATGGGAGCCATTGCCGCCCTCCCAAGTTAATTAACCAAAGTTGTGGCTTTTCTGTCTTCTGCTGTGCATTAAAAGGAAGTTGTATACAATCCAAATATTTAAGAGATGTCTGGGTAAAAATAGAAGTAAGTATTCCCATTTTATATGATTGTGGTTGGTTCTTTTCAGTTGCTGGATAACTGTCTTTGGTTGTAATTTGCTGTCTGTGGCACTTCAAGGTTTGGTGTGCTGCTCAGATGACACACGGTGATATGGGCAGAACGGCTTCATGGGAGTTGTAGTAATTCCTGGACTGTAATGCTTGGATAAGTGCTGAGATAGAGGTCCTTTGGCTGCCGTTAGCTGCATGTTCTTCATGTGGCAGATCCTGAAGCCTTCTATTTGAATGCTTTTGCATAAAGCATAAACCTAGCAAAGCGTGCAATGTGAACATGTCTTCAGGCTGCTCTTCTCTCTGATTGGCCAGGTTCTTGGCAGAGCACCAGAGTAAAAAGGGGTCGGAATGGGAGGGGGATCCCAGTGCTGCTGAGGGAGGCACCAAGAAGTCCTCTGTTTTCCCGTATCCTGCTGAGGAGGTGAAGGAGGAGTCTCGGTCCCGGTCCCGGATGAAGGAGCGCGAAGCGGAAGACGAGCCCAAGCCTAAGGGCAGAGCAGCCCTTCCAAGTCGGGGGTCACTCGATGACACCATTGGCAAATGGGCAGAGCTGGCCCCCTTGCCCCCAGCCAAAGATGTGTCCCGGCCTGAGGAGGAGTGCAATGACCTGGAGGACATGGAGGAAGAGCTGTATTTGAGTCGTAAGCAGGAACGGGCAGCCGCCGCCAGGAGGGAGCGGGAAGGGCCGTCCCCAGACAGGCCGCCAAAGGGCAGGAGAAAGGAGCGACCTGGGGACAGTCCCCCTCGTGCAAGATGGGGGGAGGAAGACCTCAGTTTCAGTTTGAGCTCCACTCATTACGAGCAGCCCACGTAAGTGCTGTCGCGGTACGCCTCTCTCCTCATGGGGGGCATTTCTCATAACCTTCCCTGTTTGTAACTCGGGGTAAACCACGATGTCTCCTTGCATGCAGCTCCTCTGACGTTCTGGCTAAAGAGCGCCGCATCTCTCGGGATCTGGTCCACCCAGGCAAAGACAACCAAGAATTTCGCTCCATCTTCCATCACATCCAGGCGGCCCAGTTTCGACGGAGCCCCTCCGAGCTGTTTGCTCAGCACATTGTCACCATTGTGCACCACATCAAAGGTGACACCCCTCCCCCCCAGCCTTATTTTTAAAGTCAGTCATGTCGTATCTGCAATGATGAACCTGCACCGTAGCATTTTTTGCAGCATTTTTTTGGCCAGTCATTTAGATCTTGACATGCAACACTTGTGTGTTCGCAGCGCAACATTTCCCCTCTCCAGAGATGACGCTGAATGAGCGTTTTTCCATGTACCAGCGCAGAGCAGCTGAGAAGGAGATGAGGTCCCGAAAAAGTCCCGAAATCCACAGGTAGCACAGATTAAAGGCTGACCGGGTCTCACACTGACCTCACACCAAGGCATTGATGGTCATGCGATTTTCATTTCTTTCCTCAGGAGGATTGACATTTCCCCCAGTGCATTTAAAAAGTACTCCCACCAGTTTGAGGAAGTGAAACATGAGGAAGTCGGCTACAAGGTGACAATACTGTGAATCTAAAATGATTTTTCTACAGAATGACCCTCCAGCAGTTGCCCGCACCTTTGCGCTGCTTTCTGTCTGACGTTGTTTCACATGGGACACTTGTCTTATGACAATAAGAGGTCATTTGAATTGCCTTACTTTCACAGCACATTTCAGATGCGCCTGTTTCATGTTTGTCAATCATATTCGGAAGCCTTAGTCAGCAGCAGCCTTGCATTCCTTTCTGTCCCTGCACTCTGCTCCCCTGGGTCTTCATTCCCCCTCATTTCTATGTCACTGCTGAATTTCTTCTTTTCAGCCTTTTATTTTTTTTCCTTGCCTTCAAAGATACAACATCTTACTTTAACTCTGTATGCTCATGTGCCCATTTGCACGAGCAGTCAAGCAGACGCTAATGCAGCTGACCGTGCTTTTCTAGGATATGGGGAAGAAAGCGAGGAGCGAGGCGCCCAACACGTGGCTGGAAGCGGCTCCGCACGTGAGCTACCCAGAGCGGGAGCATCGGCCCGCCGGGAGGGAGCCCGCGGACTCGCCGGGCTCCACGGAGAAGCCCGCCAAGCATCGCAAGAAGTCCAAGTGTGTCCTGCTTGCCGAATTTCATCAAGCCACGTGCGGGTAGCCAGTCTCTGCTTCTTACCGAGTGCTGAAGGCCCTTCCTCATTCATCCTCTCCCACAGGAAAAGCAAGAAGAAGCGCTCTCGTTCCTCATCCTCATCCTCCTCTTCATCCCGTTCCTATCGTGCTCCTGAAAAGGGTGCACAGGACAGTCACCCAGGGGAGGAGGGATTCAGCCGCAGCTGCCCTCCGCCACCTCTGGAGCAGGCCGCCGCCTCTGAGGAGAAAGGTCACGAGCCTGGGGTCTTTGTAAGTGTGCCTCCCCCCCCGTGTCCCTGGGCGCCGCTTCTGCTCATGACCTGCTATTTCTGCTGCAGACAGCCCACTCGCTGACAGTTACTGTGCAGCATAACCTGACGCATTGGTTATTTTTCTAGTGCTTGTTATGCTCTGCAAACATTTCCTGTATTCTCAATATAATGAACGTATAACAATGGATGAGTGTGTTATCTTTTACATTTTGCATGGTTTATGTTTAGCTGGGTAATTTCTGGTTAAAATTTTGGTTTTTGGTAAATCCGAAATTAATCAAACCCAAGATTAAGTCTTGTATGTAAGATTCCTTGCAGTGTTAAATGATTTTGATATACTGACCAGTTCTTATAATCAAAGTCGAAGTAAACTTTGTCATCTCTGCTATATACGTTTCAGTATACAGAGATGAGACGACGTGGCACCAGTTTAAAAACAGTTCAAAGAACAAATAGATATGAAATAATGAGATAGGAAGTGAATATGATTATCCTTGTTGACACACCACAGCACACAGTACACAACAACGAAATCTGTCCTCCGCATTTAACCCATATGTGACATAGCAGGGGGCAGCTAATTCAGTGCCAGAGGAGCAGTGCGTGGGGGTGGAACCTTGCTCAGGGTACCTTGTTGGTCGGGGATTCGAACCAGTAACCTGTCAATCACAAGCACGCTTCCATAACCTTTAGGCCACTGCTCCAATTTCCTCAGGAAGAACCTGAAATGTTACTGCCAGTCAACAGTATTTGCAGTATTTGCAGTATTTGCAGTGTATCTTTATTATGCATGCTTCTCTGCAGTGGTTGTGTTGCTTTGCTAGTACTAACTTGTTATATTCGAAGTTACATAATACATATTGCTCAAAGCTTTAAATTTTAAATTGGTCTGCATATACAGAAAATCTAGGATCCTCAATTGGTCTGGTTCCTGTTTTGGCTTCCCTGACCCCTTGGTTATGCACTTTGTGTTGTCTTCCTCTTCAGGGGTTATATCATCATATCATTGCTATTTGGATGTAACTTGCTATCTTCCTCACCCATATGATGACCTTTCTCTGGCTGCATTTTTTTAGCACTTCAGAATCAGAGGCCGTGGGTGGAACAGGGGGAATTACTCGAGGAATGGGAACCCCCCGAACACGGAAGTGCACCCCCCTGAGGAGGAGTGGGACCCAGAGTACACTCCGAAGAGCAGGAGGTACTACCTGGTGAGTGCTTTCCGGTCGGTTAGGAACACGATGTCAGTACCTGTTCTCGAGCTCCCTGCTGGTGATCCAGAACAGACCTTACTTCATGTGCAGTAATGAAAGTAAGTAGTAAATGGAATGGAAATGATACTATTCCACTAGGTAAGAAGATGACATGCTTGTCTAATAAGGGAATAGATTTATATATTCTGTATAAATAAAAACATTCTCTAAAGTGATTAATACTGCAACCCTTGCTGGCAAAGTAATTATGGGAGATGGATGGAAGTCATAGATTTATTTACTTTGATGTTTGAAAATGCTTTTTAGCATGATGACCGGGGTGGGGACAGGAAGTGGCTGAACCCGGGGGCTCATGGCCGCGGATCCTTCCCTCACCCAAGGGGGCAGTACCCAGGAGCACGCGGGGGATTCCTGTACCCAAAAGGCAGCCCCAAGTGGACCCACGACAAATTTCAGAGCGGTGAAGAAGAGGGGGAGCTGCGGGAGGAGGACGGGGAGCTGGGCCCGCCGGAGGTGGTAGGCATGGCAGCCAAGATGTAGCTGCACACTGCCTGAGCAGCCCAGCCTCGGCACGAGGGGCAGGGTAGGTGCAGCACATTTTAACGAAAGAGAAAAATCACTCACTGCTGGACTGCCCCACCATATCCAGCGTCCAGGACTCCCTTGTCCCCAGTGTGGCAGGTAGCCTGTTTGCAGTCAGTAATGCACAGTCATGACACATTTTACAATGTCAAAGAGAAGCAGTATGTGCTCTAGTGTCACAGTGACACTATGGAATACCAGAGGGCATAAATACATGTGGAATATAGCAGTGAAAATACAAAGATGTACTGGAAGTAACATTGTGGGCTCTACTGCGTTATGAGTTTCCCCTCAGAAATAAATGGATAGTTTTATTTTGTAATGATTCATGGTGACTTCTGTTTGTTCCAGTGTGGAGAATATGCTACTCAGTTTACCTTCCATTTTGTTAAAATGAAGCCATTGTGGCACTTTTCATTCACATGGAAGTTTTTATAGTGTTCAGTACACCCTACTGTGTGCTGTATGGTGATTTGTAAGCTTTTGATTGTCTTTAGCTTCCAGTGTCTAACACTGATCTGTGGGAGGGTGTGACCTTCTAAACTCATCCAGAGGACAACTGCTGTTACTCCTATGTCTTATATAAAATGACAAAAACTGCTCTTCACCACTGTAATTATAAGACGGTCTATAAACAAAGGCATTGCTTTCATTTTAATATTTATTCATGTTCATCTAGTAAGAATCAGCTGTGGAGATGTGGATGCAGCACTGAAAATAAGCAGCTATGTTGTGATAGGGGCCTGGGCACCTGTGATGCTAACGCAGCTCGAGAGAATCCAGTCATAGCACAGAGTTGCTGCCCCCTGCAGATGATCAGATTTTGCTTCTTCTTCAAGCATTGGAAATATTTAGTGCAAGGTTAGTTTTACAGTTGAAGCTGCTCAGTACTCTCTGCAGTGACCTTTTCCTTTCTTCCCTGAATGAGGAAGCTCGCTCTCTTGCCTCCCGCTTCTCCAGTGGAGGCTGCTGTTATCCACGGGCTCACATCCTCCCGTAGCTGCTTATCTTAGCTGTTACTTTCCTATTAACTGTCAGTCTTGGCAAAGTTGTCCGTTTTGTGTGTGGACCAGAATAGCTTAGGATCACTCAGAACCTAGTCCTGGCCTGTCTGCAGCCTGGAGATCCTCATTAATTAACTGGCCATTTGTACTCATTTCAAAGTATTGCACCCCTGCACCTTACTGGTTCTAAAAAGATCAGGGCTGGTGTCCATGCGGCTCCAAGTTCTCATGGTTACTATCCCCCAGTCAGCTGTTAAATAAAAGAAAATGTAGGCAGTTCTATTTAGGTTGCAGTGCGGTGGAGGCTGAGTGTGACGGCAAGATGCAAACAAACAAGTGATTTAAAGGGCAGGACCGTACGTGACCAGATTATGTTACTCTGTCCATTATCCTGCTCACACAGTAACAATGAGAACTAGTAACCAAACGATGATTCCTTAAATGCTGAAAAATGATTTGAGGGCAAAAATGACAGTGTTACAAAAAGCATTTTTATTTTTATGCTTTTGATGTGACGTGATTGACTGCAGATAGGACACTTTGTAGGTGACATGCACTGGGGGCGGGAGAACCACCTGTCCTAGCTAGACCTTTAACACCCAGTGTAAGATCAGTAGTGGTCATTTCTGTTACTAGGCTATACAGGCATTATGGGACAGGGCTTGGGTCCAAGGCCTGGCCTGTCCAATCACAAGCTTACCCCCCCCCCCATGCTTCCCCACACAAATGTTAGCCAATGACAGTTCTTTCTCCGGTGAATGTGAACAGAAAAGGAGCAAGGCAAGACCGTTCTTTAACATGTAATTGATTTTAAGATGGCACAAAACAACAAACAAAAAAACATTTTGGATAATTGATGTACTAAAGAACCTGTATTTTATAAGAATGATTCTGGTAATAGGATGCTGCCAAATGACCTAGTTATGCATGCATGCGGCAAAAGGTTTCTTGGTTTATCTTGGTTTGACACTTGAGGATTGATGAATGACTGTTGCTCATTGAACCATAATGTTCATGGCAGCGTAAATGAGTGCATATTGGCTTGTATTTAATCAGTGTTTAACCAAAAACAAGCAGTCTTACCTATACATGTCCATGGGTCATAACAGGGTAATTCAATTTAAATTGAAGCAGCAATTTATTCATTGTCAATAAAGATATAAATGGGCCATCGGGCCCAATCCTGAGTCTCAAATGCGGCTGCGTTTTCTATATTACCTTGCATGCAAGTTTGCTTCAGTAAAAAGTGCCAGATTGTCTTTTTGGGTTTTACATTAGGTTTGTTTGTTTGAACAAATTCTAGGGATGGGAGGCAGACCAGAAAATTCTTGCTTTTGCTTTATTTCTTTATTTGAAGTTCATAAGTTTTGTTGATTTTTTAATTTTGTTTCTCCCCTGTTGCTTCTTTGTGCTGTATCCTGTAATGTTTTGTGACACATCATCTGGCAGAGGACTGTAATCTAAGGGCTCCATCCAGCTCCTTTCAACTCAGTTTTGTTCCCTGTTCAAACATCTTTCCCTCCTTAAACCTTTTATTGGTACGTTCCACTTTGACGTCTAATCACTTGACAGGTGTGAAATCTTCATGGTTATTCTCAAATCTAATGCTCTGTGTTCAACTGAATATAGTTCGTTTAGACATTACTTTAATGCAGCTCATATTTTATGTTCACATTGCCCTTTGAATGATTGGAAGTCTTCTGTTCATTTTTTTTGTCAACATTAATAGTTGATTTTCTTTCAATAAATCACTGAATTCCTGAAGTAATCTTCGGTATTTGTGTGTTCATTAAATGTAATTGTTTTCGTTTATGATATTTAGCATTTTATTGTTTATTTTAATTGTATTAATGGACCATTATATACTAAGTAACTCAGAAGAACCTCTTTATCCAGTAGCGCTCTCGTGTGTATTTTGTCCCAAATAGCTTTGCTGTGCTGTACAGGTATGTGGCAGGCAGTCCTTGTGTAATCCCAATAAGCGAAAGTTATTTGATAGGCTTTCCTTGTAGAATACCCCTCAAACCACAGCGATGTCAATGCGTAACATCTCCAAGTGATATGAGGGCACCTCCCCCTGGCATATCACATGCTGGTTTTATTTGAACTTATTGGGGGCTTTCATATTGTTAAACTGGTTCAGTACTGACCTGTAAAGTAATAAACAAGATGAAACGAGTTCGATTCACCAATACGTCTCTGTTTCTGTTGTATGCTTGTTCGACGCCGATGGAGCGGACAAGGCAGACATGTTGCAAAACAGGCGTGAGATTTGCTCGCTTGTCCTATTCAGGGTCTGGGGGGATTGGGGGCCACCAGCTATGCGCACAAGGCAAGAAATAAGCCCAGACGGGGTACCATCATGGGGTTCACCGTCGTTTCACACACGTTCACACCTACAGACAAGATTGAATATAAGAAAAGGTCGATCTATCTTGAAATTAAATTTTTCTGAATAGTATGTTTTCACAAGCCTCTAGGTAACATGGTGCCATGCATTTACATTAAATGATTAGAGCTTGGTAATTCATATCTATCCATTTTGCGTAACTGGTTGTTGAGTATAGGGTCGTGGTCAACCTGGAATTTAAAAATAAAACAATTTGTTAAATCGCTGTATTGCAGAGATTTAACAACAAAAAACACATGGAAAAACAGAATTGCCTCTCTCAGGATTTTTTTTTCTTAAAAAAAAAAAAAAATCAATTTTCCTCAATCCTTTCATATACTGTTGAAGTGGATACCATAGATCCAGACAATGCAGGCAAAGCTTGGTTAAATATATTTATAGCTAAAAATAGACCTACACTGTAAATTCAGCTGGATGACTTATCCCTCGGTCACATTCATAAAGCACGTTCTTTTATTTGCTTTGGTCTGTTTTAAAAACGTTATCTGATAACCTAACCTGTTCCAGCTAATGGGACCTTCCTAGGGTGGCAGTGTCCTTCAGGTGGCCTTCACTAAGCCGCCTTCTGATTGGTTCTTGTGTATATCTCATGAATCCCCTACGTACACGTTTATCCTGAAGTGCATCTCAATTAACCTGGAAGTTAAAATATCTTCTCTTGCAGAAACAGCTAATTATTGAAACCGCAATAAACCCATCTGTGAACTACAATCCGCCGTCTATTATCTTGACATGATATTTTCGTTACAATGTCGCTGAGAACGTTTCCTTTGATGTTTATCAGTCTCGGCGGCGAAATGTACGTCTTGGATCAGTATCTGCGAGCTCAGGATGTCCCAATAGAAAGAGCCGAGAAAGGTAATCCATAACTTAACATAATAATTTAGCAAAACGTTCACTTCTGCTTAAATACACTTTGCTGTTAATGTTTCAATCACGGAAGCAACATCTGATCTAATGTGCAAAAAAATAAAATTCCCGCTATGGGGAATAAAACCAGACATAACAATACGGCACATTCGGGGGTCATATGTCTCCACAGAGATGCTGTGTTGTCACACTCTGCGGTGCTTTCATTTATATTTATATATATTTCATTTATATCCTGGCAATCACAGTATGGTTTAATGCTTTAACTGGAGCAAATCATGGAATTTGATTATACAAGTACAAGACTGAACGTAAAACAGTCCAGTGCTGTGAGCTGCTGTATGAGCTTAGCTCAGTACCTTCAGAATATATACTGTGGTGTATTTGTGTTACTGTGCTATATGAGGTATGGTTATTAATTTCACTAGTTTTAATATGTCATCTGTTATTATTACACATGGCAGTAGAGGTGCCTGACAATTCTGAGGCCAAACCAACTTCAAGCAGATGTAAGATGGTCGAGTTCTAAAAGGAGAATGTGCAAATTAATGTTCCACACTACAAAAACTTATTGGGTAGTTTCCAGGCCAAGACGGAGTTAGCTCTGATCATGGGGCAGTTTGCAGAAGGAGAGCCGTCTGAAGGACCTCCCAGCAAAGAGGACGACTTCCTAGCCATGGTGGATGGACTGTAAAATACACAAATATGTAAAATGGCCACTAACTCATAACAGCTGATGCATCTATGATAGGTGGTTTATGAGGCATCTTTTGGAGAAGGAACTTTTTCATTGGACAGTCAGATGTATTGTGTTAAAGGAACAGGAGCAGGCTGCCAGCAAGAGGGATTCTCTGCAGGGGCAGATGCTGATATGATGAGGTATTGCTCAGGGAAACCCGACCCCACATAGCTTGATGATTTTGATTCCTGTTCCCATCATTCATTTGTATAGAGGTATAATGCAGAGGGCAGACGGAAGGGGTATGTACACTATGGACCATTCAGAGCTACTGTCTGTCTGTGGGCCTCAGGAGAAAACACATGCGATACAAAGACGACATGCTGACTCCACACACACAAACACACCATCAGGTTCATAACCAGAAATAAATTTGGGGGGTTCAGCAACCCAACCGATAGGCACCTCTCTATAAATTTAGCCAACAAGGAGGAGTCATCCACCTCAGTAGATTTTGCTGAACAAATTTTCAAGGAGGGTCTAATCTGAGTATTTTATTTCTAGTTACCTGCATGGTCGGTAATAAAAACATATTTTATGGGGGGGTACAAACCTCTTTTTAAATACTACTGTGCCACCTTTTGTAGAACACTATATACCTGCATTTTGATGCATTAACTTCCTTGACCTGCTGTAAGGGAGGAACATTACATGTATATTTATGTGGTCAGTGAATTAGATGGGGAGCGAAGCCAACTCTTTCACCACTCACGACGTAAAAACTCTGAAAAGTCGGTATGGCACAAAATTGTTTCTGATCACTAGAGGGCGCGCTGAGGAATGTTATGGTTACTTTCATGACGTATAAAATTGGAGCCCGGTTTTGCAGTACGTCATCAATGTGCAAAAGAGTGGGAAGGCTGCTGCTTTGTGAAGATTATTATATCATAAAAATTATCAAATTTATCGAGATTTTCATGAAAAGTTCTGTATCTAATAATTTTGTTATTTGTACCAGTTAAGTATGTTAGTATTGGGTAGCTATTTATTTAAAATACCTTCGGTCGTCTTCGTTTGAATTAATTAAAATGTAATGTTTTTTTTCTTCACCGTGACTTTAATTTATTTTTTACCCCGGCTCTGTGCAGAACAGGCACAAATTTTTCGGGAGCCGCCATCGACAGAAAAGAACCTTTTTATGGTCAAGTCGTCAAACTAACGAATGGTGGGTTACGATACGTTTATGTGACTAATTATATAAGTTACCTAAAATACTCAAAGTTATAAATGCGTTGTATAGGTGGTATGATTTGCAGTAAGCAAATTTGTAGTCGTTAAAATGGACACGGATGCTTTTAAAGAACATTTAAATAAAACACCAGACGGTCTAAGAAGCAAGATCGACTGAATGAATTTATCTCCCACTGTATCTCTCCCAGACATGATGGAGGTGACGCACTCCATCCGTGAGCGCACCATTGCTGAAAACAGTCTGGTCATACTTCTGCAAGGCCTGCAGGGTCATGTGACTACAGTGGAACTGCGGGACGAGAGCTCAGCGCGCGGCCGCCTGGTCAATGTCGATGCCTTTATGAACGTGCGTCTGGAGGAGGTGGATTACTGTGACCGGCGCGGGCGACCCAGTAAGGTGGCAGAGCTGTTTATCACCGGAAGGAATGTCCGGTATGTACACATTCCCGACCACGTGGACATCATGGAGACCATCCAGACCCAGCTGAAGAAGATCCACCGTGTTCGCAACTTTGGAAGCAGGCACGGGGGCAGGAAGGAGTACACGAAGAAAACGGCTAACACTTAGTGATCCTCACTTTGGTTTTGGGGTTGATTTTTCCCACATGAATCAATCAGATTATTATTAATATAAATGTAATACTGTTTCAGTTAAACACACAGCTTCCTATTGTTTTACAGAGCAAATGGAATGGTGTAGGGGTAAAAACTGAATTGGAAGAATCACAATCCAGGAGGAGTCTAGCTGTTGAACACTAAGCATAACTACTAGTAATAGCTGCTTGATAGGGAAGTGGAAGAACAGGCTGCCCACTGAGATTCTTCATAATCTGTCTGAATAAACTCCCTGTTTGTGTTTAAGAATGTCTGGCAAAAAATTTATTTAAATACATTTGTTGTAACTATGAAATGCTTTGGACCTTTCTGATGACAGGCTTAGATATTCTTTGTTATTTTAATCTATTATGAAAAGGGTTCATCCTTTGTTTATAAGACATACATTGTAGACTTGCATTATACTTTTTTTCTCTGGTACATTGTCTAATAACTATAGAGCTCGATAATATTTCATGGAAAATCTGATCATATGGGGTTGTGTGTCTGATCGATAATGGATGTACTTACCTAACCAGTCATAGAAAGTGCACAGACTACAAGTGTAAGTGCTTTTTTTTATTTATTATGTATTTAATTCTTCAGTTCAAGTATAAGAACAGAAAGAATTACATTTTAACTGGCAAGAGAATCGGATCCCCTATTGCACTGTATTTTTTAGCTTATGCTATTTTAATTCATGAATACAACGGACGTGAGTAAGGATGACCTTTGCTGAAGGCCAGCACCCTAAATGGTTTCGATTATGCCAAGGGTGTATAGACAGCTCTGACTGCTCATGCAGGGATTAAGTTGCAGGTGGTAGTAGGCCCAGTATGTACCCCATATTTCAGCAGCATCTCCCACAGGATGTGCTGGGTCATGCAGTCATACACCTTCTCCATGTCCACAAAGCACACATGGACTCAGTCTGTATATTGCCATGACTGCAGATGCAGGTGTGTTGGTTGGTTCCAAAATCCAGGCCTCATTTACCCTCAAACCATAAGGCTTGGCTATACACAAAGTACTCACATTCTGCCTGTAACAGGCATGACTAAAATGTCATATATTAACTATACTGGTTTGTGTGCAATCATTTAGCTCTATAAATAGTTAAAATGGATTATTTGCATCACACTTAATAGTGGCATCATGTACATGTAGTGTTTCATCTCTGGGCCTCAGGATCCACCGTTTTCTGGTTTCTGGTCTTACAGAAGGTTTTGAATTTCATTAAATAGCTGGTACCTTTATCAAAATGGAATTATAATTTTATCCATTTTTACAGCTGAAAGTTTATGTAGTGTAACTGACTTAAAAATGTGTTACAAATGTACTACAGCAAACGCCCTCTGTATCATTCAAAAACACTGGCATAATCACAAGGAAAGATCACAAGTAAAACACCATGTAATTAAGAAAAAATATCTCGAAGGTAAGTGAAAAAGAAGTATAAAAATATACCTTAGATAATTTATTGAAGTCTGGATAGTCATAGTATGAAAGAATGAGAGTTACATTTATATAGCGCTTTTCAAGACACCCAATGCGCTTTACAGAACCGATGGGGAGCCATTCACTTTCACCATTGTATAGCATCCAGCCTGGATCATACGACGGCAGCCATTCTGTGCCAGTACGCTCACCGCACAGTAGCTAAGGTGGTGAAGGGGCAGCAGAAAATTCACCAGTTAGATATAAGGGATGATTACGAGGCCTAATTTGATAGAGAAATTTTAGCCAGGACATCGGGGTACCATCGCCATTTTTTCAAAAGATGCCCAGGGATCTTTTATAACCCTGGAGAGCCACAGCCTCGGTTTTAGGTCTCATTCAAAAGACAGCACTATTTTTACAGTACAGTGTCCCCATCACTGCTCTGGGGCATTGCGATCCAAACAAACCACAAGGATGAGCGCACCAATGCCTCTTCCAGCAGCAACCCACCTTTCCTAGTTGGTCTCCCGTTCAAGTACTGGCCACGTTCAAACCTGCTTAACTTCAAATGGATTACGTAGTTTGAACTGCAGGTGATGTGTTTGCTGGCAGAAGTTTTAAAAATAATCTAATCGCTAAGATGAACTCACGGGGAAGGAACATCCGTGAGAACGAATAAACGATAAATGATGCTGTACATATAATGTACATATTATGCATGTATGCAAGATGTTTTTTTTAAACCAGCTCACACTGTACGTCATTTTACCCAACAAAAGCCTATTCCGGTGACATTATACAGCTGCCAGATTTAACCGCGGAGACTTCTGGGAAAGGTGTTTCTATTCACATTAGTCTCATTGTTAATCTCCCGCATGTAACTACGATACCCAGAAACCAACACGCTCCTAAGGCGCATGCTCAGCTCGAAGACGGTTGCCGAACTCGAGACGTATGTATGTAACAACAGGCAAGCCCACGGTCAGGGCGTAAAATGTGTTTTTATGTTGTAGTAATGAGCTTAGGTCAAAGTGATTTTAAGTTAGGCTCATAATGACACTTTTGCCTATTTTCCGTCCCATGGGCTGTGAACCCAGACAGCCGCCTACGGTTGTCTAGTGCACCAGCTGTGGACCTGACTAATAGCCGTGCACTTGTTTTCTGGCCCGATTAGCTAGGGAGTTAGCTAGGTAAATGATCCTACAAACCTGACAAGTTAAAACCTCCTCTGCGTTGCCGGGTTAAGCCGTGGATCTGAGTACTGTCTTGTTAAATGGGCAGGCCGCTGCACAGGTAGGCTGTTCGGTAGCTAGTGCACGTTTGCTGGAAGGGAAGAAGCGACAAGATGTGGCAAAGTGTGGGTCTCACGCTGCTGGTTATAGTGGCCACCCTGGTGTGCGTGTTACTCTTCATGCTGTTCGGTGAGTAAGTAACGTTAAGCCGGATAAGCGCTTTACAGAAACGAGGATACGTAGCGAATTCAAATAGTCGGACCCTATATATATATATACGTATATATATATCTATAAAAAAAATCTGTTTGCTGTTTGTGCTTGATTATGCTGTGTGAGTTAAACTGGAGTGATTTTCGTCTGGCTACCCGTGAGTCATTGTTTGCACCATCTTACCCAAATACAGTGTACAGTGTTGCAAAACTGTGAGACATAACTTGGGTGTCTTTTAAGGGATCTGTCCTGCTTAACAGCTTTGGGCCTGTATATATATCCATATTACAAGTTTTCTTAAACCACTGGAAAATAAACGTGACATAACTGGGCTGGAAAAAAAACTGATCTGTTTTAATTCTGCAATGAATCCCATTCCCTGCTCCCTTATTCCTTGTAGGCTGGTATGTGGTTTGGCAGCTTTTCCTGTCCAAGTTCAAATTCCTGCGTGAGCTTGTGGGTGACGCTGGACCTTCCCTTGGTAGCTCCGAGCCATCCCAGCCAGAAGTCGAGCGACCTTCGTCGGCCACACCTCGCCATCGGGCCAAAAGTACCCGTCAGAGAGTCATCCCTCTGGAGGAGGCCAGCTAGACTGACCTTCCTCACTATAGACAAGCCTCATCCTCCTGACCCAAGTCTTACCCATAAGCTGACTCCGCCCACTATTGTAACAGGCTGTCAGGTGACAGGAAACATTCTGTGCACTATCCAGTGTGGCCAGCCTCATGTTGGTATATCTGACATTGTATGCCTCTCTTTCATTGGCTCCATAGATTTTGCAGCCTGTGAGATGACTGGCTGTCACAGTACATATGTGTGTGCCTGTGGCTTAGCTTGATGCACAGTAACAGAGAATTGTGGTCCTTTAGAAAATGTTCTGGCAGAGAAAAGAAGGCAGACTAAGGTACAAGAAAAACTGAAGTCAAAGGTTAAGTCACTTTTTTTGTTTAATGAATTTTTGTTGATTTCTCTGGTTATTCGAAAGTGCAATGTAAGAAAATGTAATTTTCTGGTCAGTGGCAATGTTCTACAACAGTTGGCTGCCACTGAATTGGAGGGGTCTCGCCAGTGAGGCCCCCTGTGGTGTCCTGTTACCTGCCTGCATGGGTGTGGTCCTGAGGGCTTCCTTTGCCTTACAGTTGGCTGACAAGGGCCATGGCTCTGTGTGGGTGTCTCATGTAGGTCTTCAATACATGGCGTCCGGTTAGAGCCTTGTAAACAGCTGAGTTTACATGTGGTTTGGGTGCTTTATTTTATTTTCAGTGTAGTTTTAACTGGCCATCATAATAAATATTTGTTACAAATGGTATCATTTTTATTTACACAAACATGGTGGAGCCCTTAGTGTGCACTGACTTACTACAATTAATTTTCCTCATCCAATTCATATAATTACAAGTGCAATTATTTCATAAATGTTGATGACTTCAAAAAACCCAATAAACAAAGCTATTGAAAAATAATTCTCATCCAAATGTCTTATATACCTAAAGGAAATTACATCCTGGGGATATTTTCAAATGTCCTCTTCAGAACTGCTGAGACATCCGTTTGGATTAAACATGGAAATTTATGCTGCTCTCACAGCTTCTTAGACACCCTAAAAGGAATACATGAGCAGTGTGGATAACGTGACCACAGACCCAGGAACAAGTGTCAAAATGCATATTTCGTAATGTAGATCCTCATAAGGTTTTGCATTAATATGTGGTGCTGTATTAGCGACTTACCAGGTGGTGGCAGTGTTGTCATACTACGTATACCAGCCAACACCGTCGTTAACCATGCCAGTGATCTTCATAAGGTCACTCAGCACTTCACCGTGTCAGCCACATGGCTCTGTACGTCTTACACTCCAAGGGGCTGGTAATGTCGGTCCGGGCTGGTTTAAGCAGAGGTAAGCGGGTGCTATTGCGTGTGTGTGGGAGGCTGTGGCACAGCTGCAGCTGTGAGGACAGAGTTAGAAACCTTCTGCAGAACTGAACATGGAACTTCAGAACCCACTCGTGCCTGACAGGAAATAGCTGTGGTAAGCCAAGGAAATGACATCACTTTGTTGCTACTTTTAAGGCTCTTTTAATAGCAAGTCTCTGCAGCATTAGCCTTGCTTCAGACGGGACCTGAGACTGGCCCTGCAGGACCATCCCCACAGGCAGGTGCAGCTCATACAACCTGCCTTCCACATTTATATCATACACATGCTTCCATTGGGCCAGAAAGCACGCACATCCAGCTGCTTATGCTGCTGTCCTGGCTTCAGTGCCCTAACCCATTATAGGTGCAGCCCCGTGTATCAAAATAAACACACGTAGGGTTAAATCAGTCCTTTACTCTTGTAATTACTAGTGGGAGAGCAATTATTTGCACTGGCCCACAACCCAGACCAGCATAAGCGGTTACAAGATGGATGGACAGAGATAATTCTCATTAGAAACTGGGAAAGGGGCCTTATAAGGTGCTTAAAATTTGACTAAAACAGGAATATTGTACAAAAAGCTGCCTTAAAAAGAGAATTTACATCTATATAATGCTGATTACTAAAAAAGTCCTATTTACAAATCTGAGCCATGTACAAAAGCATGTTGACATGAGACGCGGGAAAGGCCAGGCGACGCGCTTCACGATTCAGCCATGCAGAGGAGCTGTGCTTGGAACTGCTGGGCGAGGTGCGACAGGACAGCGACGCGGTCCACCATCTCCTGAAGAGGCGCCGTGTTGGGGTAACGGAGGGCAGCCATCTTAGTGGCCCCCACCACTGCCTTCAGCATCTGGCAGAGCGCGTTGCTGCCATCCAGAGCGCGCTGGGCCACCTCCGGCGTGGCTGCCTGCCGCGACAGTGTGTCCCCGATGAAGACCAGCTTGTGGGCGCTAAGGATCACCAGCTTGCTGTGTGCCACAAAGACCCGCGGAGGCTGACCTTCGCGCACGCAGGCGAAGAACGCGTCCACCGCACTGAGCAGTGTGTCAAAGTGTGTCCCACACTGCTCTGAATAGAAGCGCAGGAGCTGCCGGTCCCGCCCACAGATTGGGGCCCCGCCCACCATGGAGGTGGGGTCAGCCACAGAGTTCTGTGAAGCTGCTTGCTGGCCAGTATCATTTTCCACTGGTTTGGTCACCTCCACTGGTTTGATCACCTCTTGCTCCAACTTCTTGAACTGCTTCAGCTGTAAGGGCAAGAAAGTGGAACCTTCATCACACTGTGTTTTAAACTGCTAACTGAGATCCTTTGAGGCTATATACAGGCTATGAAACCCCACCTATTGGCTGACTTTGGTATTGCATTTGCAGACTACTGAAGTTTCACTGGCGGTTCTTCTGAACATCAAGCCATAAGTTCTGATATACAAGCAGAGTGCATTGTGGGTGTTTAAATCCCAAGTCGGCCTACCTGCTCCTTCTCCAGCTGAAGCCTCCCCTGTTTCATGATGCTCTCCTTCTGCAGCAGTGCCTGTTGCTGTTGTTCAAACTCCTCTTTGCCCTGTCAGTGGAGAATGGTTAAACGAGGCTTTCAGGGCTAACTGTCCACCTTGTGGATAATTAGCATGTAGCTACACCACTCTCATATCCCTTATAAGAATTCAACCCTACTGAGATGGAATATATTCTCAGCTCAATATGTTTCATACAGTTAGCTATTGTAAGAATTAGTATAAAAAATTATATAGTAGCATACTTATATATACTCCTGCTGCTCGGAGATTTTTAGAAAATGGTCAGACACACAAAATCTACCTCCCTTTCATTTATACACACACACACACACACACACACACACTTACTAATACTCATACTCATAGTCCCCTCTAGGGCCACACAAAAGGTTAGGGTATACAATATAACATGTACTGTATGGCAATAGTCAAAATGGCCAGTAATGGAATACTCCCCACCTGAAGGTGGACATAGTCATAATCTTCCATCCAGCTCTTCACACAGTGTTCCTGGGTAGCGCCAAGCTCATCCTTCTCTTGTTCCGGGGCCAAACATACAGGGAACGGTCGGGTCGAGTCCAGGTCCAGATTGGGGGCATGGTTCACAGTGTTGAGGCTATGACCCTCCTTGACCAACTGATTGTCCACCCTGCCCTGTGGTGCACGGTGAGAGGGCCCTCTGCTGGACAGAGAAAGACACTGCAGGCCATCTGTCACATCCCACGAGCGAGACGGTGGCGCGCCTCGCGGAATGTCATATACGTCCTTTTGGCTGCTTGCGAACTGCTGATGCGTAGGGGGTATGTCATAGACGCTATTGCTGCTGCTCATGGGGGCAAGATCAGGGTAGTTTGATGCAAAGGGCTGTGCTCCTGTGGGTGGTGGAACGTCATATATATCCTCATGCTTCTGCTTGTGCGGTTGGGGAAAGTCGTAACTGCCCTCCTGAGCGATAGGGTTGTTCTTGCATGGTGGTATAGAGTATACCTGCTGAGGAGAGATGCTGTTACATACAAGCACAGACACACTGTAACCCCCGTTACATAAGATCTAATGCCGGCATACAGTTTCCTCCTGCCTTACTCGAGTCGTTTGCAGGCTAGTTTGTGGTGTGATGGATTTCCACTCAGCACTGGATGGACTTTCTGTCCAAACATGCGAGTTACGCCGTAAACTCGTTTGGTGGGCATGGATTTCAAACCTATAATAAGGCTTCTGACGTGTGCAGCTTGCGCCATAAAAACAAAAAGAGCAACAGCGGTTTCAGTGTGGCCTTGACAACCCACCCACTTCCCCCCCCCCCGCCAAACCGAGATGAGCTCCCTCACAGGGCCCTCTGGGAGATCTTACAGCTGGCCGACCTGAAACACAGTCTTTCACAGTAGCTCCCCTCCAAGTCACACTATTTACAGTGCTGTGCCACCCCCCCCCACCACCCCCAAGACACCTTTCCTCACAGCGAGGTTGTGCGACTGACGTACGGCAATGCTAAAGACGCCCCACATTCTTCAGGCTTTTCTCAAACCGGATGATGGTGACCAGGCGCATCAAAACCACAGGGACAGTCATCCGTTTCGACACGATGGCCTCGTCACGGGGTGGAGCACCTGTGACATTTACCATGCTTGACAGTTGCCCTAGGATCACATACCCCTTGCATCGTTGGAGGAATGTCATACAATCCTTGTGGTTGAGGATCCCTGTGTTGTCCGAGGTAAGTGGGTCCTATCTGCTTCCCTGGGGGAATGTCATATACCTGTAAACGGCAAGCACCGTTTCAGAGACACCACAGAGCCTGCACTTTCACCCAGAACGCCACCCAGTTATTTTCTACGCATGTAAGATGCAGGTACAAAGATCCAGGTGCATCACAAGGCTGATCTGCTCGGCCGAGACACTCACCCCCTGGGCTCGGATGGGCGGCACATCGTAGAAGTCTCTCTGCACTTGCGGAGATGGCTGGTAGGCGTAAGAGTGGCCAATCCGCTCTGGCGTCACAACCTGCTCGCACCACAGACAAGAGGATGAGCAGAGCTTCAGAACATGTGGAGATACTGAGACCTGGAACATTCACCTTATCCTCCTGACAATATATTCTCCAGATGCCCCCCCCCCCCCTGGAACATTCACCTTATCCTCCTGACAATATGTTCTCCAGACGCTCCCCCCCCCACCCCCATCTAATCCCTACTCCTCCCATAACCCCACCCTGTGTTTCCAGCCCCCTTACACACTCTCCCCACCTCTCCAAAAAAAGATCCTCATTACAAGCCCAACTTTGTGTGACTTGTCTCGGTGCAAATCAGGTTCACCAGATCAATATCTGTGGCGGCCCTGTGATGTGCTACCACTATGCTGTGCTGCTACATTTTTAGTGAAATTTGTCAAAGTTATATGTGAATATATGTGGATCTTCACCCAAACAATGGGTCTGCAAAGTCTGGGGGAAAAAAAACTCAAAAAGAATTTGATGGTATCACGCTTTTTTGACGGTGATGGCAGCAATTGTGGCAGACCGGTCCCAAAGCCGTACTTATTCCCCATCTAGGGTATACAATTGTCCTCCATGTCTTATGCTGTCTCTTGGCACTTTCAGGGTTAAAGAGTTCTGAAAGTCACAGTATAGGTTAGGCTGGGTTTAGGTAACATGTGGTCACTAAAATGCTCACATCAGGTTCCCAAGTGCTACTCTTGTTCTCATAAAGTTAAATCAGGTAGCGTCATGCAGACATGGCTGGTCCTAGCTATTGTAGAGACTCATTTTCTGTCGCTTTAAAACAACATCAGCCTGTGGTCAAAGACCCTTTAGGAAGGATAATATGGTGGCACTATAAATAGGTCACATGAGCAGAGAACTGTGATATTCACCCCTGATCTTCTTGTGTTTCTCTCTCATGTTGCTTGAACCAGACTCTCATGTCCTAATATCCAGATAAATAAATCTAAGCAGCCCTTTGTAACCTTTTGCCTGAGGACATCGTCTCACAGCCAACACTGAAGCTAAGAGCTCGTGACTTAAACTTCTGCCACCGAATATCTTAGGTTACCCTGGGACGTTTCATTGAGCCAATGTGATGTGCGTGAGCCAACAAGATTAGTGAGGTCTCCAGGGGCACTACTGTGCCACTGCACAAGATAATTCACCGTCACCATCACCGGCAATGTCATCAACGTCAACATCACCATCATTAACGTCACCCGAAAGGTAGAAGTTCACTGAAACCAATGATAAGGTTGTAGATCAGGGCAGCAATGAGGGAATTATGGGCCAGAGGAAGAAGGAGGGAAACGGTGTGGCAGTGAGTTTCCATAAACAGCTCATACAAGTCAGTTCCTAGTATCTTCATGCTTTGTGGCTGATTAGTTACACAGAGATGATCTTCCATCTCCAGCTTAGTAATACAAATCTGGCAGGAGCGTAAAGTTACATTATCAGTGTGGCTGTTCTGCTGTGAGACAGCCCAAGGCTTTGCAGGTCAGCTGCGAGTCACTGGAGCCCAGATTAAAGAACTTACTGTGCAACGTGAACAGTTTCAGCTGGGCAATCACAACGTTGCTAAACTGAAAGCAAGAATAGTTTGATTGTTCTTGAGAAAACCGAGTTAATCATAAACCCAAGGACTCTGACTTAGGGACAACACCCATTGTATTTGCAAAGAAAAAGCAGACAAACAAGTCCTGTGTGGTCTTTGATGTGTTTGAATATCTTGAACACGGCCCTAAAGTTTAGATCTCACTAGAAGGTCTCCGATATCAGAGAACCATTATTCAAAGACCCCCGCCGTCCTGCCCATCTCTTCTCACAGACACCTTCATAGTCCAAACATGTGCTCCAGGATCGTAGGATCCTGTGGTCATGTTCATACCTGAGCCCAAATGCCGAGAAAACCGGCTTAAACTGGGCCACAGGGAAAGCGGGCCTGAGGTCTGAATCTTGGACCGGAGAGGCGGTTCCGAGTACCACTCCCAGGGGACCGCGAGAATTGTATGCCACGCATGAATAACGCCACGCTGAATAGCGAGCCTTTATAGCTGAGCATCGGCAAACTGAGAATCCCTCAGTATGCTGCTAAAGTCAACAGCCAATTACCATGGTTACGGAGGGGCAGCGACATCACTGTGTCAAAGCTGACAGCCATGCTCCCTCTGTGTGCCTCTCGCCCTCATGCTAGTGCCAGCAAACTATCTGACTGCCGTGCTGCTCCTCGTAAAGGTTTGGTTCTTACTGCCTACTATCATTATCAGAGCAAGATGGATAATTTAAAATAAAAATAATCACTTTGAGCCTAATGGTGTATCCATGCGTTCCACCACAGGTAAACCACAAAACCCGGAAACCCGGTACCCCGGTACCTGCACACACAAACTCTCAATGGCAGCCCATTTGCGCTTCTTACCTTCCCGGGAAATCCCTCGGCAGCCCGTCCGCCGCACTGGGGTACCTGGTACACATCCTGCCCTAGAGGCACCTGGTACAGCCCCTCCTGCCTCACCGGGCCCTTCGGCTGGCTGGCGGGGTCCGGATGCACCATCCCTAGCGTGGGTCCCACGAGCAGCTTGAGCCGGTTGCCGGGCGCGATGCCCTGTCGGCCGTGGAGCGAGCACAGCCACCAGCCCTCCACGCCACCCGTGTTCTGCTCCAGGACTGTGAGGATGTCACCCTTGCGGAAGGCCAGCTCCTCTGGGGACTCGGGGACATTGTCGTACAGGGCTCTGGCCATGAGGCCCTGAGGAGGAGCAGGACAGAAGCATGTTATCAGAGATGAGTGTCCACATGCAGTCTATGCCCAACGGGGCCCAACCGGAAGGCTGCCCTGATGCGCTCAACTAACAGAAAGACGGGATTTATGATGGCTTTGGTTACATCAACCCCTTCAGAGGAGACTCTGTTATCTCTGTGTTCTTGCTAGGGTTGAAAACGGGGGGGGGGGTAGGGGGGTAGGATTTCTGGAAACTTTCCAGAAACTTTCCATTCCAATGGAAGTTTAGCTGGGGCATTTTGGAAATATTCCAAATTGGAAAGTTTCCATGGGAATTAACAGGAATATATAGGGATTAACGGGAAAATTTCCAGATGTTTGCAACCCTAGTTCTTTCCCATATATCAAAGCCTCTACACATTCATTTCAATGCACGCTTCCCCTTGCACTACCCACCGAAACATGGATGAAAGGCTCTACCCCGACATTACTCCTCCAGGGCCTGAGCAAAGAGATCTCTCGCACCTCAAAGTCACACGTCAAGGCGCAAATAAGGTCAAAATGTCGACATGCTAGCGAACACACGCCTCGGTGAGGTGTTATGTGCCACAAACGACATTCGCCACCAGCGGCAGCAGAGCATGTGACCGTCTCCGGCAATCAGGTCACGCTGCCTGATTAGACAGCAAAACGCTGGCTGACATTTTATCTTCTGCTGACACAAATGTAAACACTGCGCCTCCCACTTTACTGGGAAGCTGTCGCCAAACACCATGGTGGTCTTTGGTGAACCAGTGCTCCGTTTGTTCATATTTAAAGTGGACTGTATACACACCAAAGTAATGCTGTTGACTGTAGCTATGTCCGGGGAATTCTGTATAGAGCTGAATAAAAGGCATCTGCATTTCTATTCGGGGCGCAGTCAACAGCCTGTCAAAACCAGAATCATTCACAACCCTAAACGTTACTGCAGCAGCATCCGTTTCCTGGGTGATTTCTAACCCTAGTTTCCACAGAATTTGTGTCTTAAAGTTGCGAACTGATAACGACATATAAGAAAGACGAAGCTACGGAGGTAGCAGACACTTTGCAGAGACCTCATCATCCTGCTGTCAAAAAAGGAAATTGCCTTTGAATCTGTATGACTGACCACAGCACGCAAAGACAGCCAGCACAATGAGGGCTGGGCAGAGTGTATAAAAAAGCCCTAAATCTATGACCGTATGTGCCCGCCTACACACTTAGGGGCGAGTCATCGTGATGACTGACTCAATATGCGCCGAGGGGGATTTCACAGAAAACGTACGTCTGATTCTGCTCAAGTCTCTGTGCCCAAACACCCTAAAGCCACTGTATGGCTTCCTGGAAGCAAGCCTCTGGCATCCCTCCTCCCCCGCCACCCCCCGTGTGGCCCTCACATACTAAGCAGGGCCTGTCTCTCGTCAGCCCGTAAGCACACATTACACTCAGGTGCTTATTTCCCGTCCCCTCCCCACAGTCTCCCGCTGTCCTGGTTGGCAGTCATGACTCAGCAACTCTGTGCAAAAAGGGCATATTTTCCTTCCACTGAAGCATGAGCAGGAGCAGAACCGTTTCTTACACAGTAAAAAGCCATGTCAAAACAGCAAAGAAATCCTAAGCGACCGAATCACAACCTCTGCTTGATAAGCCAGACCCAGAAATGCTTTTCAGTATGTTAAAAATGGCCCAGCTTGTCCCAGACTTTCCAGTATACTGGTCCCAGTGAGGAGACAAATATATACAGGCAAATTTACTGGTCCCATTAGGAAAACAGTCCACACATGATGGCACACATAAAAATAACTAACTGGCCCTTTAAACAGCTCCCTGGATGCAATATGCTAATAGTATAAAGTATAAATTGAACCCCACAGAGGGAAGGGGAAAGTGAAGCTAATCACGTCTACACGTCGTCATAAGAAAGCTGACTTACAGCAGGAGGATGGTGGGGTTAACTGTGCTGCAGGAGGGGACATGTGTCATGTAGCAAGAGGGTCTGAAGGGAGACCTGCTGAGGAGGTTGTGCTTAGCTCAGCCACTGTGGAAGCCAGCAAATACCATCAAGCAGCAAGAGTATTAGGCAGAATGATGTTCATGATGCAGTGTGGCCTTCAACATGCAGGGCCATGTTCATGATACAGTGTGGCCTTCACCGTGCAGTGCCATGTTAATGATGCAGTGTGGCCTTCACCGTGCAGTGCCATGTTAATGATGCAGTGTGGCCTTCACCATGCAATGTCATGTTAATGATGCAGTGTGGCCTTCACCGTGCAGTGTCAAGTTCAAGATGCAGTGTGGCCTTCACCATGCAATGCCACGCAGTGTGACCTTCAGACAGCACAAACTTCACTCAATTCCAATTTCATGATACAATGCAACTTTTGCCATGCAGTGCCATGTTCACTGTGCAGTGTGACCTTCAGACAAGGTGAACTTTATGCTACAGTGTGAATTTTACCATGCAGTGCCATGTTAATCATACAGTGTGACCTTCAGAAAAACTGATCCTTAAATAATGAAGGCTGCACGATAGAAGATAAGTAGTCTGTCATTTTCAACCTGCACAGTGTAAATCAATGGTGTGCAGACAAGTACAACTACATGTATCAGAAACTACAAGTACTTCTTTCATAAATGGTCATTTAGGGATATCGGCCATTACACAGTGCTATGATGTGAATGCCTAGAACAACTGCTGGTTTCACCTAGTAAGAAAACAGTGGCAGATACAGCTACAAATAGTCAGGAAAAAGACAACCAGTCACACATAGCTCTATTCTCCGCCGAGTGTTACATTCCTCTCATCCCAAACAGACCCGACTATCCATTTTTGTATCCCAATAGATTGCAGATGTACAAAATTTAATCGAAGAAAAGTGCGCCCTCTTAAAAAAAGAAAATAATTAGCCGCGAGGCAGAAATAATTTACAAATTTCAAGTAGATTATTATGACGAAGCCGTCCTTTAACCCCAAGATCATGGGTTACAGATTTACCTATAACAAACATTCCATGAACTTTTAGAACAAAGGCATTAAAAAGCCTCATAATCTAGCATGTCTGGCTGACACCGGCTCCTGAGCACAGGCCCGGGTCCTGCTACGCAGCGACCTTTTGGGGATGATTTAAAAGCCCCAGAGCGACCCATTCACACGCAGAGGTGCGATCCCAGCCCAGAGAGGTTAAGACACCCCAGGATTCGGTGCCAGCTGCCCCGAATTCTTCAGATAGCGCACGGACAGACAAAGGCATTCAGCCTCCTGCCATAGTAGGAAGGCAATCGCAATATAATTGTATGCATCAGTGTAATAATGACGACGCAACTTATTACTGGTTTCCCTCGAGGCCACTAAGATAGCCCTTATTGAGAGGCAATTTCATTGCACAGTGAACAAAACACAGACATTTTAGATCATCGGAGCAAAATAAATGAAGTTGTATTATTTTCCATTACTGCTTAATGCAGGCAGTCGATTTTGCGAATGTGTAACTATGCCGTCAAGTGCGAAAAAGCGCACTGTTTGTTGCTAAGTGCTTATTCATTAAGGATTAATGAAGCTGAGTGTCACGATGCACGACGACTACACTGTTTTCCCCATACTAAATCCTTTTCGCTCATTAACAAATTCAATCAACCAATTCACATTGCCGTGCGACACCACAAAATATGTTTCCATTTTCGTGTATATGGTCTGATTAACGAGCTTTCGCCGTGATCAACAAACCGGACCCAGAAGGACCGTTTAACGGTTTGTTTACACAAGTTAGAGCATCCTTCCAAGCAGACATTGCTGGCAGGTCAAGTTTCGACTTCCACCCGTTAGTAATCGACAATAACCCTTCCCAACTAAAACGAGTTACCTATCGGTAAGGTTAATCCACATCACTTTCTGCGATCTGCACGTCACACACACGAGACACTTAACCTGTTTCTTCACCACCATAGTGACCTCGTTTACACTGGAACACCAGAAAGCAGCAGTTACTATGGTGCACAGTCTGATCGCGTAGAGCACAAAGCCCCATTAAAGCTTGGACGCCACATCACGCATAAAAAACGATTAAAAGCCAGAGCTCCACAGGGAGACTTACTTCATACTTCATTTTGAGCGCCTGCGTTTGATGTTGTCAGCGAGTCTAAAACCGATATCCGCTCGTTTCTGAGAAAGCATCTGAAGGTGACGTGATGTGTCACTAAAAACTGAGCTGGAAAGTTCAGCCCCTTATCATGCCGTGCGTGGAGACGCTTCCTCCAGCAAAAGTGCTCCCAGAGTCACGATCCCAGAACGCTGCACTAATTCTTGTTCTCGCTGTAAAGGAATGCGTACACTTCAGGTCATTTACATGTCCGTTTCGCGATTGGTCGGAGCACGTCTAGATCCCGCCTCCCGTTCGTGACGTCACCACGCTGACGGACAAAGTTTTCTTTTCATGAACTGTGTCACGTCTGAAGTAAAAATGTTAATTATAGATTTGAACGTTAAAAAAGAGACAGTTTTACTCCGCCATGTGCTTTATGCATGATTTATTGGATGCTCTATACTCGTGTTTATATTTGGCAAAACATTCTCTTTCTGAAGTACCTTAAAACTCTTCTTAGGGTTTGTCTGTGTTTATTTATTGTGGAGTATTTCAATTTGAAATACCTTAGATTCGATTGAAATAAAGGGAATATGTCGTAATTATAATTATTGTGCTAACTTTGTCACACTTTGATGATGTATTCATCCTGCTCCCAAAACCACCAGAGTTGGAATTATACCTTCAGTCAGTGGGTTGAGGTCCAAGATCTGTTTCAGGCTCACTTGAGATTGAGAGTTAGATTGAGTAAGCAGGATGTGAATGGAGTGCTTGATGCAACAGCTTTATTGTGGAAATGCGTAGAAGGCATACACACGTGTGCACGTGTGTGTGTGTTTGTGTGTGTGTGTATGTGTGTGATTGTATGTGTGTATGTATGTGTGTATGTATGTGTGTGTGTGTGTGTGAGATTGTATGTGTGTATGTATGTGTGTATGTGTATGTATGTGTGTGTGTGTGATTGTATGTGTGTATGTATGTGTGTGTGTGTGTGTGAGATTGTATGTGTGTATGTATGTGTGTATGTGTATGTATGTTTGTGTGTGTGATTGTATGTGTGTATGTATGTGTGTATGTGTATGTATGTGTGTGTGTGTGTGTGTGGACTTCAAACTGAATCCATAGGCAAACTTGCAGGAGGCCCCTCATTAATAAAACATATCCGCTATGGCAACGTACCCTCTGAGGCAACATTCCTGCACAACATGATGTACTTATGCAAACTGTGAGGTCCTGCCCCACCTTCAGCAAATTATCTGATGTTGTAGTTAAGTTCCTCACATTTACAGCATAACCGCTTCCTTGATGAAGGTTAGCACAGCAATGCACGGCACTGCGAGTGGCCCTACAATATAACTGATAAAACAGCCATAGAGATTTTGTACCTGAACTACTCAAATACGTATGATAATGGAGATAACAACAATATGACTTATTACTGGTAAATAGATTAGAAACCAAACACTGTAAGAGATCCCGGAGTAGGAAATGTGCCAACTGCACTGTTGTTTCTATCAGTTGCCTCTGAAACTGGTTGGCATGGTGATGTGGGTGAATGTGGGCACGCCCAGGGTCTGGTAGCCATGTACACTCCAGTGCCCTGCTGTGTCTCTTCCTCTGCCCCACCCATGTAAGAGCTTCTGATTTTCTGAATTTCGAGAGCTGGCCATAATAGTTTTAACGCTGGGTTTGTTTTAAAATTGACAGGATACAGATGGCTCACATATAGCCCAGTCATTTCCTTCTGCTGGCTTTAAACTCTTTTAGTCAGCGCTCATGAGAACAAAACAGAAACTAAAGATGTAATCAGACGTTGCACTCCGTAACATTTAAGTGCCTTAATGTTCTTTCCTTTACTAACATAATTTTGAGAGCATTACTGCTTTACTCTCTTTTAAGTAATGAGCAGCAGGACATGGGGCTGTTGTCTTGACTGGTGAGGCAGCAATTTAACTGTATACAGTTTGCAGTCTGCAGCAGCCTGGCCGCGCTCCCCACAGGGTCTGTGCTAATGAGAAAAACACAGGCCACTTTAGCCTTGTTCTGACAAGAAAAAAAAAACATTTAAAGTGTCCTAGTTTATGAGGGAAATAACAACAACAGGAACGACTATTCTCCTTCTAGCTGGGCGATTGGGCACAAGACTTAACAAGTGCTGATTCTCTACTAACAGCAAAAAATCCAGAATGTTCCTGCTGTGCTAAGGAGCAGAGGGCAGGACGGGCCTTTATTGACGGGCAAGGCTGAGTCTGCATTTATCACCATGGCATGAGACCAAGCGATTGGGCCCAATGAAAAAATAAAGATGCTTAAAGCCAGCTGTGTGTCAAGAATGCTGGCAGGAACAAGAAGACAAAAACAATTAGCCAACAAAGTATCACCAGCATATTGCTACTTTATTTATGTATGTTGTGTATGGTTGTGGAACAAGTACAAAGATGGTATATAAACAGAAAAATTAATACTTGAATGAATGAGTTTTGCATGTTCTGTGTTTAAGTGTTTTTTGCATTGCTGTTCAGTAATTCCATGTTTACACCATAGGTGGAAATTAGCTGGAGAACATTTTAAAATGGATTTGAGGAAGCACTTCTTTACACAGCGTGTAGTTATATTATGCAATAGTCTTCCTGCTAGTGTAGTGCAAGCAAAAACCCTGGGTTCCTTTAAATCAGAGTTGGATAAAATTTTACCAGCTATTAAAGTTCTCCTCAAACAAGCTTGATGGGCCAAATGGCCTCCTCTCGTTTGTACATTTCTTATGTTGTTATGTACACTGACAGTGTGTACCAAGTCTTCATGAGGTTTAACTGTCAGGAAGAAAGCAGAAAAAAGTGAAGAGAAGCTGAGGTCTCACATCATCTTCAGAGCCAAGTTCTGCATAAAGACTTGAGGAAACCAGACAATGTGGGGTGGGGTGGGGTGGGGGGGGGGGGTAGGTGGAGTAAGGTCAAATGTTCCACTTCTCGATGTTTCACAGTAACATTCTTGGTTCTACAGCACTCTCTGTTAGTCCACCATGAGGCAGCTCACCTTGAAGTCCTGTTTCACTTCTTTTTTGTAATGGAAGGTAAAGACCGTGGAAGAAAGGTCACATGGTCATTAAAATCACCACAGAATATTTATCGTCAGGCTGGTGTGACTGGAAGGACCTTGGATGAAGTCTGAATAGAGTTCAAAGGAGTTTGAAGGAGGTAGCAGATTGAATTTTTATGCAATTTCACCACCACTAACCAAGTGAGTATGAGTGTCTCTGTCATGTTAACATTGTGTGTGAAACCAGTCATATGAATGTTGCATGCGAAGACTTCATTTGGGTTTTTGAAGCTTTCTGGCACATTGGCTTAGTTGTCAAGTCAAGTGGTCAAGTGGGTCTCTATTGTCATACCATCTATATACAATCCACAGCCTACTGAGGGATGAAATAACATTCCCCAGCATATATACATGAAGTGCAGAGACTGTAACAAGACAAGTGCAAGACACGACAGAGAGGGAATAAGAAGAATAATAACTAACAAATAAAAATAAATTATATACATACACTGACACAAAGGGGAACTAAGGGTACCCACACAATGTCACAAATATGGTGGCAACTGTAGAAATAATAAATATAACAGATGTATCAATACGACAGATTTGGCACAGATGTACGAAAGGTGCAGTGTTGGGCACTGTCCACTGGATACAGTGGACAGTGCTGATGGTAAGTCGGGTTTATAACAGAGCTGGTACAGAGTTCAGAATTCGAAAAGCTTTAAGGGAGAAGCTGTTGCAGAACCTGGCAGAAGAGCATGGATGCTCCTGTACCATCTGCCAGATGGAGGGGAGGACAGAGAGGGAGTGTGAAGGATGGGAGGGGTCCTCCACAGTGCTGGAGGCCTTGCAGATGCAGTGCTCAAGGAAGATGTCCTCAGTGGAGGGTAGAGGGGAACTGGTAATTTTTCCAGCTGTGTTCACTATTTGTTGTTGGGTCTTGAGGTCAGAGACGTTGCAGTTCCCAAACCAGGCAGTGATGCAGCTGGTCAGGACACACTCGGTGGTTCCCCTGTAGAACATTGTCAGGATGGGGGAAGGTAAACGTACTTTCCTCAGCCGCTGAAGGAAATGGAGGCGCTGCTGCACCTTCTTGGCTACGGAGGTGGTGTTGAGGGTCCAGGAGAGGTCAGCTGCCAGATGTACTCTAAGGAATTTGGTGCTCCTGACCAACTCCACCGCAGAGTCCCCAATGTGCATTAGAAGATGGACAGCATGTGCCTTCCTGAAGTCAACAATCATCTCTTTCGTTTTGTCCACATTAAGAGACAGATTGTTGCACTTGCACAGTCCGCCAGTCATTGTGTCCCGATTCTGGATGCTGATTCATCACCGTCACTGATGAGACCCATCACTGTTGTATCATCAGCAAAGTTGGTGATGGTGTTGGTGCTGCATGTGGCTGTGCAGTCATGAGTCAGCCAGGTGAACAGAAGTGGACTGAGCACACAGCCCTGGGGAACGCCAGTGCTCAGTGTGATGGTGCTGGAGACCCTGCTGCTGATGCAGACTGTCTGGGGTCTCTCTATCTCAGGAAGTCCAGGGTGCAGGTGCACAGGGAAGTGACACCTAGCAGGCTCCACTTCCGAATGAGTTTCTGGGGGGGTGAAGGTGTTGAATGCTGAGCTGAAGTCTACGAACAGCAATGTATGAGTCCCCTTGATCATACTTGGGTATATAACATACCATATACAAACTATACTGCTGGAACACATAATCATATGCAGTGTAGCACCAGCCTGTATCATCTATTGCAACAATACTTTAATAATCCTACTTTCTTATTGTAACCTCAGTCACCCCAGGAATGCCGTGGTCTGGTGGTGCACTATGGAAACAAAGGAATGTAAGATGAGACCTAGATAGCTCCACCCACAATTACCCTGCCATGCCTCCTCACATTTAAGGATGGATGCTGGTTCAAAATCCAGACTCAGCAGAGTGATTGGGCCCCCTGAGCAAGACCCCTAACCCCCCGTTTCTCTATGGAGCGTCTGACCCTGATTTCTCTCAAAAATGAATATGACTAGGCATAAAAGCATCTGCTAAATGAATAAAATGTGCACGAGGCTGGTTTTCCTGCTTTTACTACATCAATAGCACATTTTCTCTGCTATTTTGTCTGGTTCCATCACAAAAGCAAACCGGTCTGAAAGAATTAGCATATGTATTTCGGGAGATGCTAATTATTCAATCAGCACTT